GCGCCTTTCCTGGAGCTCACTTGGTAGCCCAGGCTGGCCTCGAACTCACAGAGATCCGCCTGGCTCTGCCTCCCGAGTGCTGGGATTAAAGGCGATGATCAGGTTATTTGAAGCAGGAAAACGCATCCTAAAGGTGGCGAGTACTCTCTGATGGCAGCCCAGATAAAAGAACCTGGAAATAGGAAACTCCTTTTTGCTTGTCCTCACTCTCTGGCAGGTTCATCTATCCTGTGGCCTCTGTGGCTTTCCTTCACTGGTAGTAGAACCAACTTTTTCATGATTCAAATGTAGACTAAAGACCAGCAGCTCTCCAGGAATCCTCCAGGACTTCAGTGCCAGACTGTCAGCATTACTGAGACAGCCAACATTCTACACTGAAAAACCACCAGATTCCTGATCACACAGTGTAAGCCAGCCATTTTTGGACTGTCCAGACTACACCCTGTAAGCCAATCTCATAAATCCAGTGTATTTGGATGTATGGATATATCCATATCTATCTGTCTATCTATCTATCTACCTATATTTATATATTCTGTCAGTTCCAATCCTTTAGAGAACCCTGCTTAAGATGTGAAAACTTCCCAGGAAAAGGAAATGACAGCCACAAAGGCCCTCAAGCAAGACTATGTATGGATATTTTTCTTTCAGGATATCAATCAATCTCAAACTGACTAGAACCTTCCTCCTTACTAGATAGCTTTTATAGTGCCAGAAGATGCTATGCAGGCTGCAGGGAGTTGGGGGTGGGGAGGATGTCAATGATCTGACCCAGCGCTTGTCCCTGCATGTTGCATCACTATTCCACTAGATAAGATGCCCTCCCTGGTATAATTGTGGTGTGACTGTTATGGGGTAACAAACCTCATTCTGACTGGATTTGAAGCCACTCTGCTTAAGGAAATTTCCTGCCTGGTTTTGTAATTCTCATCCAAAGCTCACGCCTAGAGAGGTCATAGACCCTAGGGTAGATACCACTATTGTTCTTTTGTCGACTGGTCATGTTGTTGAAGGTCTTCTAAATATTACGTTTATACTTATAGACCTGGCCTACTCTCAAGCTTAGTCAGAAAAGCTTCTTTTTGTCACCAGTAGCAGTCGATGTTGAGATGCATAACTCATCAAAACACTGAGAGTAAGTCTATTAGTCAGGGTTCTCTAAGGAACAGAGCTAATAGAATACATATGTATACACACACATATGAATTTAGTGGCTTTGATCCAGTCTAGCCAATTCAACAATGACTATTCAGTCCACAAGGCTGGATGTCTCAGCTGGTCTTCAGCCTGTACTGGAATCTCAAAAGAAGTAAGTTCTAACTAGTGAAGGAATGCCTCAGCAACAGGATAGATGGATTTTCCAGTGAACAAGAGGGGAAGCAGGAAAAAAAATCAAAGGCATCCATCTTTCATACCTTTTATGTAGGCTGACACTAGAAGGTATGGCCCAGAATCAGGGTGGCTCTTCCCATCTCCAATAATCCAATCAAAAAAATCCTTCACAGATGTGTGTAGTTGGGTTTTTGTTTGTTTGTTTGTTTAATTTTTTTCTCTGCTGGCCCAGAGAGGCAGAGAAAGCACCCAGCTGACCTTCCCCCGATAAGAGTTTTCTCCTGTGCTGTCTCAAACAAAACTCCTCACACTGAATGTGCCTCCCTTCTACTTCCTGTGTGTCTCTATCCATCCTCCTGACTCCCTCTTACTCGTTATCATTTTTCCTATGTTCACCTCCTATAAAGTGGTTGCTTGCTCCACCTCTTGACCTATGGTTGACTTTATTGTCAGGGCCTGCCGACAGTCAGCTGGGTAGCTGGGTAGAGGTGTGCGGATTGAAGAGACAATGAAGAAGACAGAAGCGTCCAGAGGTCTGCCGGTCAACGCCGGACAGCCCTGAGTTTATTTCACAGCCAGCTTGTATACAGTTTTGCAGGACAGAGGTAGAACAATGCACAGCACAGGCATTCAGCCACTATCTATCCTGCCTTGTGTCAAGGAGCAGGCAGTTTCATTTTCTATCTCAAGGTACCTGTGGCTGGCATCAGCAGCCTACATCTAGCTAGATAGTGTGTTCTTTCTTGTGGGCTCATCAGGACTTTCTCACAGCCCTTCAAGGAGACTCTGCGGGCTAATCAGGACTTTCTCACAGCCTTGGAGCAAACAAGCCTGAACTCTATTGACTCAGAATAGACTTCAGATTCAAACTGGAAAACTGAGTCAGTTGTGGGCTCCCACACTTTATTTAATCCTATTTACAGCATTCAAGCACAAAACTCTTGGATTAAAGGTATGAGCTAGGGCTGAACCACACCATACCTTGAAACAGGTTTTTCTAAATAAATAATGCAATCTTGGGGTTCAGAGTGTGATCAAATATCCCACAACAGTATGTATATTTGAAGTATACCAGGCAGGTGCATAGTGATGTTTCAATATACATTTTGATAAGATAAATCATTATCAAGTTAATTCATTGTCTTAGTCAATATTTGTTTGCTGTGAAAAGACACCATGATGTTTGGCAACATTATAAAGGAAGACATTTAACTGGAACTGGCTTACAGTTTTAGAGATTTAGTCCATTTTCACAATGGCAGGAAAAATGGCTGCCTGCCAGAGATGTAGCTAAGAGTTCTACAGCCAGATCAGCAGGCAGAAGAATGAAAGAGAGACTAGGCCTGGCTTGAACATTTGAAACCCCCTAATGACACATTTCCTCCAACAAAGCCACACCTCCTAATAGTGTCACTCCCTGATGACCAAGCATTCAAATATATGAGCCTATGAGGATCATTCCTATTCAAACTACCACATGAATACATCTAGACGTGCTTACTAGATAGAATCATATATACCAAGTACCGTGGATTCCTAAGAAAACCATGAGACCACTACATCACATGCAAAGCTCTCAAAAGCCTCTGGAACAAAAGCAGTTTTCTCTAAGCCCACTTTCTTCCTCACATTGGCAATGGATGGGAGATGGTGTGAGCAAGCATGGCCACACCAAGGCTGGTGACTCTACAGAAGCCCTAGAAAGACTAAAGAGCATCTCTGGAAAGAGTCGTCTGCATCCTGTGCTAAAATCGACCCATGCTTCATCATGGGTGGAACGCAGTCATCCTTAAACTGGCCATTTCTTACCTTCATCAAATACTCCTTCATATTATGGCTTCTACATAGATCAGTGCTCCCTTCCCTGCTCGTTCCTGTTGACCTTGGCAATGGAGGGTTCTAGGAATGAACTTGAGTGAAGATCTAGTCTTCAGACAGAAGGACCATATGAGGATAGCTCATCATAGCTCCTAAGTTCAATGATGGGCATGCAGGCTTTAATAAATCATCGGGCTTGGGCTGGAGAGGTGATTCAGGGATTAGGAGCACTTGTTGCTTTTGTAAGACAAAGGTACGGTTCCCAGAACCCAAATGGAGACCCTCAACCATGTATAACTCCAGACCCTGGGGGATTCAATACACTTTTTGGTCCTCTGCAGACACCAGACACCCATGTGATGCACAGACATAAATGCAGGCAAAAATACCCATTCATATAAAATAAAAATAATGGAAAAATTATCAGCCTTCCATAGTTAATGAGCAGTCTTGTACATGGAATCATTAGTAAAATGGTTTGGTATTGGTTCTGGTTTGGAGGAATGGTCTTACTATATAACCCACGCTTCTATCTCCTGCCTCAGTGTCCTAAATTCCGGCATTATGCCACACTCAGCTGGAGTGAGATGCATTGGAAAATTGGGTTTCTAGAACCACTGGTAGCCTTTGGCTGCATCCTTTACTTCTGAATGACAGGAGAGAAAGGCACTATGCATTTCCATAAGACAGTCAAGCGTTCGGACTGAGGGTGTCTCTCCTTCACAGCATTAATCACTTTCATGTCCTCTTCATCCAGGAGCCAACTGAGCATCTCAAGCCTGGTGAGGCTGGGCAGTCGGGACAC